ACGTGTCACTATTTGATTTATCTCAACAGCTTCTTCAAATATTGAAGTATAGATATTGGAAGGGGTGTGAAGTGGAAGGAATTACCCACAAAATTTGAAATAAAAAAAACAAAAACAACACCATCTCAGTTCCTCCTTTATCCCCCACTCAAAAACATCTTACAGGATAAAGAATGAAGGGAGAACTCATCTCGAAGCCAATATAAATAACACTGGGTGGTTATATGAACCATGAACACATAAGGAATTTTGTGGTCCCTGTTTTGACCTTATAAGCATATTTTGAAACACAATAATTAGGCATTTCCCAAGAATTTACCAGTCCTACCGGTCAAATGTGGGTCAGAGGCCTTTATCGAACTACCCCTATCTCTGAGGGTAAAAATGATTGAGAACCAAGTGAGAATATTTGATGACAGGCCAATTTTACTCCGTTTACTTTTTAATAGTGGGGAAGTAAAGAGAGCCATAATTTTTCAAGGGCTTTTAACCACTGAAGTCAGGTGGACATGGGGGTGTGTCCAATTCTTGAGTATCTCAAACGAACAAATCCCAAACCCAAGGAAACTAACATTTCAATCACAGCCATACAATACCAATCTTTTGCTTTGGAAAAAAAAAATCGTCGTTTACATGAACCCATGTAAAAGTGACAGGGATCATAAACTTCAGCAAAAAGCAAATTTTTGGTTACTCTTAGCCCCACAAGTATCTGTGTTGCCTGAGCTTAGAAGGGAGGAAAAAAAGAGGTAACACTTACAGAGGCGCTCAGAGGGCTGCGCGCTTCAGAGCACTCAACACCCCTGGGCCGGGTCTCGGCTCCCCGAGGTCAGAACAGAACGCTAGTGGTGAGGGCAGGAGGGTGGGGATCTGGTTCCTGCCCAGTGCAGGTGGGTTGGTAATCGAGAACCTCACTGTCTAGACTCCTGGAGAGCCTGATTTGGGAAAAGCCCTTGAACCCAAAGTCCTTGTCACTTCCGGCCGTGACAAAACTCAATAAAACGCAGCTTTGAGGGCCCCTTTGACCACCTCACCTCGGCCTAAAGAGTTCTCGAGTGTATAACCCCTTTTCTCAATGTCTGCTAGTAACTCTCCTTCTCCCATTTGAGCACCCACTGCCGCCTTTCGTCTGGGCTTCAAAGTACTTTAATCCCTCGGCTAACTCTGGATAACGTGTTCGCTCTTGAACCCGCCTCTTGCGCGATCCAAATGGCACTAAGCGCTCCAAATTCGTTGGGCATCCAGCCCTTCTGCAAGGAAGCCGCTCTCACGGAAACCACTCGGGACCGGAGAGCAGTAAAGCAATCGAAAGGGCAATAAAAGGCTAGGTGGTTCCCCCAGCTCCTTTCTTATCCACCTCACCGACCCGGGCTTATCCCCTCCCCCCGCTGCAGAAACAATCAAACAAAGGCTCAAAAGCCAGGAAATGTTCAATTCACTTCCCTTAGAGTTATTAATTGCCCACAGCCATCGCAGGGAAACTTGGCTGGGTTCAGTGACGAGAGGAGGGCACCCGAGAGCTGCAAACCCCCACCCCTACTCCGCGCAGCGGGAAGCCGTTAGCGCCAGCTTGGGCATCCCCCAGAGATCCGGCCTGTTGCCTTTAGGCAGCTGAGCGAGACTTGGTTCAGGGCCTCGGTGTTTTACTCTTTACCTCCCAACCTTCTCGCGCTTTTGTTTGGGGCTCAGAGGAGGGTGGGGTTGGGGGGTGCAACAGTGAAGTCTGGAGATAGATTCTCCCCTAAGAACACCTGTTAACCCTCGAAAGGGCATTTCCATGTATTGCCACGCTGAGACCCCCCCACACAAGCACCTCCACTGCCTAAGTGCAGACAAGGGCATGAGTTTCGATGATCGGCCCTGACTACCAGCACCAACGCGAAAATATAGCACTAAAACCACAGGAGAACTGGAATAACGACTTCTATACCCCTTCCCCACCAGTATGATTTTCTTCAACTCCCTGGAAATTGTTGGTGTTTATTTAGGAAGTGTGACACAGGTCTTTAGAAACTCGGGATGTTAAGGGGGTCTGATCTGACTTTCAAATAGCTTGAAAAAGAAACAGCGCACCTGGGTTAGGCAGATCATCACAATAATAAAAAACGCGTCTACAAAATAAGAAGCTCTTTCTTGTTTTGAAATAAAGAAAGGCAATCCGGAAATTCACTGAGAGCCTTTCTGCTGACCATCTAGCTAGGCCTATTCTCAGGTTTAATTGGCAGGCAGTTTATTGGCCTCTTATTGGTGTTGATTGAATTTTGTTCCCAGTTCTTCCTTTTAAGAATTAGCATCTCAAGACAATTTACCTGAGTCAATTATCTTTTTAGGGTCTGGGTTTGGTCATAAATTTGCAAATCTTCATTAAATGCACTGTGTAAATATCCCTCTTTCCAATCGCCACCCAAATCTCTATTATTTCCTAAGATTTTTTTAGATGTCCATAAAAAGAAATTGATTAGGGAACTATATCTGAATTAAGACATATTAAATCGATGACAGATACATATCACGCTGTGTTTAACAAGAGTTGTACAAGGAGGCGGGTTCCAGATTCCGCTCGGCTGTGCTGCACCATTATTCACATTTTTACAGCCTCTCCTTCATGCCTTTACTCATTAAACCATTAAATTTCAGCAATTCAATAAAACAAAGCAGTTATAATTTTGAGAAAAAGCTATTTTGAAAGCGGTGGAGGTACCCTTTTTATTGCACAATAAAAATGCTCAACAGTTCGTATTAAAGGCAATGTTTTGGTTATGTTCTTTATTCATTCTCTTTGTTTTGTTTTTACTTATAACTTGCAGGATTGAATGTAAAGCTTCCATTATGCAAGTACTGACTGACACTCATTGCCAAGGAATTCAAATAAAGGGAACTTACTTGAAATGTTCTGAGAGGAAATGAAGACAGTGGTGACAATTCCATATATGATGCTTTCCCCCAGAAACCATCCATAGAGATGGCACAGTCCTCGCTCTACTATTGCTGGTTTGGCTTGACATGTTTTGAGTCTTTGAAATGAAATGGTAAAAGGACTTGTCCTCCCTAAATACAGATGTGGATTTTGTCACTGTTATTTATTGAAACATTTGTAATTGTGTTTGCACTCATGTCTTTCTTATTTCACTGTATTTGAATTTCATAAAAAAAATAAAAAAAACTATTTGAAATTTGTAGTACTTTCTTTGCTTGGCTGTCAGTTTTATAAGAGAAATTACATTCCCTGGGCTAATAAGTCAGTTCCAGTTAAACATTATTCATACCAATGTAAATGGGGTTATTGGATCAGCTCTTTCAAAAATATTTCTTTCCTCTTCCCAGGACCATCTCCAGATTATGGCTTTATGCAGTCTATTTTTACATGGATTGAAAATGAATTAAACTGATAATGTTTCATTGTTCCCAGAAGGAAAAAAATCATTTTCGCCACTATCATTTTTTTTTTTACAAATAATTTTATGCAGGGCAACAAAATAAAAATTAAAAAACCCTGACTTTAAATTTTGCGCATCTTGGAACATCACAAAATTTTACTATGCTTTAATTTTTAAAAGCTGAAATGAAACTCTGGGACATTAAGAACCTTGAAGTTTGGGAGATGCCACAGTTTTCTGTCCCCTAAAAAGTAATGCAGGAATCTATTTCTCTTTTTAAACTAAGTTGATAGGAAATCACTTGAAAGATACAGGGTTCATTTTATTAAAAGCCAGTTTTTATGATTTTAAAATAAAACATATCTCTTGCTATATCAATTTGTTAGAAAACGATAACAAGGCAGAAGGTTATTCTAGTAGTAAATAAGTAGCGAAGATATTTGCTTGATTTAAAAATAATTATTTTCTTGGGTCAATTCTAATTTATGGTCCTTTTGAAGAAACTGAGGCACACATGTTGTGCGTTCTGAACTGGAAGGAAAAATTCTTCTTAAAGGATATTGTTTACTTAGCTGCTTTCCTCTAGAGACAAGCTGTTTGGCCTGCCCTGCCACTGTATCTACCAGAGGCAAAAGTTAAAATCGCTACAAGATGTCCCCCCTCCCCCCAAAGCCAATTGGAAGTGGTAGATCCAGAACCGACCAGCAGCGAGATTACATTTCAAGCCAATTCCTTTGAACTGTATTGAAAGGGCCTCCATGGGCTAAAAAGTCGAAGTAAAACGGTTCCTTTTGGGAAAGATTTATTTTGACCACACTTTGTGCTTAGTAGAGCCAAATGATTCAAATTGTTTTGCAACCAATAGGACTTTAATACCCTTCCTCATTCCGCCTCCTGTCGGAGCCCTACGTGAGCGTTTGGCAGATTGGTGTCCTTCTCAAATAAGTTCCTAGCATCACCTCTACAAGTATGATGACCGGCGAACATCTGCTCACTCTTTCTCCAGAGAGCAGCCTAGGGCTCTTCCAAGGGAAGCGTGTGGTCATTGGAAAGTGCTTCTGCTTGCGCTGAGGCGGAGGTTTTTGAAGTTGGGGACACCTCCTTGCCTTCTGCCCCACCTCCCGGGGGGCCCAGCCCTTAGCCACAACTCGCCCTTCAGCCGCGTGCCGGCGCGCGCTCTGCTCAAGCAGCGTCTGTGAAACGAGGAGCGATGCGCGCGCAAGTCTAGCACAAACTTTGTGCAAGTGCAACTTGGGCATCCCCGGGGAGGCGGGGACGCAAGGCTCTGATGGAGGAAGGGGCGCAAAGCGAAGCTAAGGCGGTTACGAACAGCGGGGCGGATCTCCACTGGGACCAGCGTCTGAAAGGGAGCCAATCGGGAAGCCGCGGTTGCTGCCAATCACGGGGCCCTCTCCAATCCCACCCGTGCCATTTCCAAAATCTCTGTCCCACTGTGCAGCTCAAATGTGGTGTTCACTCTGCCAATCGCTGGAGGACAGAGTGGGAACAGGAATACGCAGAGTTAGGAGGTCAGGACAAAGAAGTTGAAGAGTCCCTAATATATACGTGTTTTGGGAGGCGGGCGGAGGGCAAAAAGTACCCCCAGTGAGGGTCTATGGGTCTGATTGTGTGGTTCTGATGGAGCTCCCTTTGAGCAAGAGGAACTCGCCAGCGCTGAGATTAGCGGATTTGGCAACGGCTCAAGCCAAGCCTCTTCAGAATATGACAGGCTTCCCGGCGCTGGCCAGCCCGCCTGCCCACTCCCAACTTCGCGCCTTAACCACGCACCTCTGCCCTCGGGACCTAGGCGCTGACCCCGGCGTGGCCAACACTCCACTGGGACCCGAGCACATGGCCCAGGCCAGCGCACTCCGACTCAGCCCTCCCTCCCAGGCGCTCCGGGCACAGCCTGAGGGTCCCGCGGTCACCAACCGCTCAGCAGCTGCCGCTGCGCACCCCGGAGCCTGCACCTATTCTGGTGGCGGGGGCAGCAGCAGTGTGCTGCCCTCCGCGCCACCGCCCCCAGCCCCTCCTCTTCCTCCCTCCCCTTCACCCCCTTCCCCTCCCCCTCCTCCTCCTCCTGCCCTCTCGGGCTACACCACCACCAACAGTGGCGGCGGCGGCAGCAGCGGCAAAGGCCACAGCAGGGACTTCGTCCTCCGGAGGGACCTTTCCGCCACGGCCCCCGCGGCGCCCACGCACGGGGCTCCGCTCGGAGGGGAGCAGCGGTCCGGCATCGGCTCCCCCCAGCACCCGACCCCGTCTCCCCACTCGGCCGGCATGTTCATCTCTGCCAGCGGCACCTACGCGGGCCCGGACGGCAGCGGCGGCGGGGGTCCCGCGCTCTTTCCTGCGCTGCACGACGTGCCGGGAGCGCCTGGCAGCCACCAGCACCCGCTCAACGGCCAAATGCGCCTGGGGTTGGCGGCAGCGGCCGCAGCCGCCGCAGCAGAATTGTACGGCCGCGCGGAACCACCCTTTGCGCCGCGTTCTGGCGAAGCGCACTACGGGGCGGTGGCGGCCGCTGCAGCAGCTGCCCTACACGGCTACGGAGCTGTGAACTTAAACCTGAATCTGGCGGCGGCCGCGGCTGCAGCCGCGGCGGCCGGGCCGGGACCCCACCTGCAGCACCACGCGCCGCCCCCGGCGCCGCCGCCGCCGCCGGCTCCAGCGCAGCATCCGCACCAGCACCACCCCCACCTTCCTGGAGCTGCTGGGGCCTTCCTGCGCTACATGCGGCAGCCAATCAAGCAGGAGCTCATCTGCAAGTGGATCGACCCGGAGGAGCTGGCCCGGCAGCCGCAGCCGCAGCCACCACCGCCCCCGGCCGGCGGCTCCAAGCCCTGCTCCAAAACTTTCGGCACCATGCACGAGCTAGTGAACCACGTCACTGTGGAGCACGTGGGCGGCCCGGAACAGAGCAGCCACGTCTGCTTCTGGGAGGACTGTCCGCGCGAGGGCAAGCCCTTCAAGGCCAAATACAAGCTGATCAACCACATCCGCGTGCATACGGGCGAGAAGCCCTTTCCCTGTCCCTTCCCGGGCTGCGGCAAGGTCTTCGCGCGCTCCGAGAACCTCAAGATCCACAAGCGCACTCATACAGGTGGGTGTCTGTCCCCGGCTGCGCCGCCGCCGCCGCTGCTTCTCTTCCTCCTCCTCCTGCTCGCCTTAATTTTTCCCTCCTTCTGCTGCTTATCTTTGCATACGTATAACCCGGACATGTGACTTTTTTTTTTCTCTCCCTCTCTTTTTTTCTATGAATAAGTAATTCGATAGCACACACAGGCCCCGCGCTGGGTTCTCACACGGTGGAGTCTCCAGCGCTCCCGCAGCCTCTCCGCCGGGACTGGCCACGCGCTCCAGCAGCCGCCGCCGCCGCCCCGGAGTAGAAGCAGCAGCAGCCGGAGCAGGAAGGCGCCCAGGACAGTCGGCAGCCCCCATCCGTCCAGCCCCGGGAATTTGGGGAGGGCGTTGGGGGAAATGGGAGTTGGAGTCGGAGCCGCCCCGGAGTTCCTCTCCACGGGTGGCAAGGTCCACGCTTGAAAGCGGCATGTGGGATTTGCTGCGGCATTTGGGCCAGGAGGCTCAGCTCAGTTTGGCCCCTCCAGGAGGAAAGGGGGCCTCAGAAGACCTCTCCTCCACACACGCACACACTTGTCCCAGTTACACACTCCCCCCCCTCCACACACACACTTTCACATGCATACACATCACACAACCTCACACACCTGTATTTCCTCCTATACCTGCCCCCTTCCTCTTTGCTGGGACATCCATATACCTAGATACATTTTACACGTACATCCTCATTTAGTTACTAATTTACACACCTTCATACACACACATGTGTCGTCACACACATTTTATCACACGTGCCCTTGAAGGTACTGGGGAAATTGGCTTCCGTGCTTTTAAAGGAAGTTCTAGTTCTAGGAGTACAGGGCTACCTGCAGAGCCTCCAGCGATCTTTTGGACCTCGCCTGCCTTAGAAGTTAGGGGGAGCCCCCGGCGCCGTGCGGACCCCTCCGAGCCCACCCCAAGCCCTGCCTTTGGGGGTGCCAAGACCCTGCGTGAAGGCGACTGCGGCGTGGGGGCAGTGGCATGGTCCCCAGTGGGTCGCATGTTGCGTTTGAACCGACAAGCGCATTGGGCGGAAAGCGCTGATGAGAGCGAGCGCAGTCGGGATTTATAGAGACAGACAATATTACCCCTCGGAGGACACTTAAGTAACTGGAGTTTACGTTCAGTAATTACTTGGCTGATTTATCGGTGCTGCGGCGGCGGCGAGGAGACAGCCGCAGGGCTCGGACTCAACAGCCAGGCCAGCGGCTTGGGCAAAGGGCGTGTGGGTGATCTGCAGGAGGAGCCAGATCTGGGTGGCCCAAGGCCAGAGCCCTGGGCCTCGCCTCTGTAGGCTGACACTTAACAGATCTCCTATGGATGTGCAGATGATGGGCCCGGAGCACATTTTCCCGGGAGCTCCTTTTGCCTGCCGGGCTCTTTTCTAATCGGATCCGTCCACCTTAATTATTTTTCCAAAAGGAAACTTCCCACAAGGCTCTCGTCAAAAATCTAGTCTGCTAAGCCTTCAACCTGCTTCTGTGCTCAGTACTTACGGACCGTGTAGGGGCCAGGGACCGTGAAGGGAGCGTGCCGGGTGCGGGAGTTGACGTCCTCGAAGAAAACCCCTAAAAGCTAGGCCTGCGGCCTTGGCCCTTCCCTTCTTTCTAGGCCTCGGAGTGAAAGAGTACCTTTCCTTCGCGGGAAGGGAAGCTGTATGGTGTCGAGGGCCCTTTTCACCCGATTAAAGCAAGGAACTGGAAATTGACCGAGCGGAAGCTAACCCAGGTTCCTTCTCTAAGGCCCCAGCCAGACAGGCAGCCTCCCTCCGCCCTCATAGTTTACCCCCGCCCCCTCCAGGAGGGGGCGTGAGAGAGTGCTTGGCTTGGTGGGGTTGTGTGCCAAGACCTGGGTCTCCAAGGAGACCTATGGCTGTTTATTGTTTTCTGGTTCCACATCGTGCGCTTGGTTGCTTATGCCAGGCGGCAGTGACTGCATAGGCCTCGCTGGATACTGCGGGGAGGGATGAGGGATGCAAGCACCCCACGTTGATACTCAAACCTGTGCCAGATGGTTTTGGCGGTCTCTGGGCTGCTTAGCCATTGTTATGTTGTGTCCAGGAAGGGATCATTCTAGATGTCCTGTCTCCCCAGCCACTCTCCCTTTTGGAGGTTATGCGGGATCCCAGAACATATTGATCAAAAGGAATAATCCCTGACCACTTCCGAAGGCCCTTTTTTCTGACCCACGTGTACCCAATTCCGTTTATAACCTTCCACTGGTCGGGGATGGAGTCCTTTCTGGAGAAGGATTTGATAGGATCTAAGAGTTACCCACACGTAGCTTCCATGTAAGTAGTTAAATTTCTGACGTGACCCCTATGTTAGAGTCTGAAGTGTAAACACTGGGGTCTCACCCTTTCTACTTGGGTAGAATTTGCTCACTGTCCCCTTCTGAATAAAATAGGCAATTTTGTCACCCTTTTCCCCCCTTCATTTTTCCTCTACTTTTTTATCCTTAATTTTCTACCTTTTCACTACCTTTACTGGGTCAAATGGTTTCTCTTTATCACGTGCAATGCTGGAGCCAGCCATGTTCAAGCCATTTAGTTTTCATATCGCCAGGATATATAGCTTGTACAGAAACATGAGAATACTAAAAAAGCAAACAAACCAAAAACCCAATATTGTCCATTTGCATAGGGTGAATGAAACCACCATGTTGAAAGCGTTGGTTATAATATTTTTTGAAGAATGCTATATTAAATTAGTATTATCTTCAACTTAAAGTAGAATACAGAATTGAAGACAAATAATGTTTTGATAAAAATTGATTATGGTAACTATTGAAGATCATCTACAGAGAATTTTTAAAGGTTGTCATCATTGTGTTGTATTTTCCTTTCTATAGATCAGTGTAGGAGATATATTTGAATAATATCTACTTTTATTTTTAAACAATATTTCCAGGTAGCATAGGATAAGTTACATTCCAGGCAATACTTTGAGCTGTAGGTACATACTCTGTCATTGAACTAGTTATCATTGGAAAATTAACAACAACAAAACTACACTGAAATATTTACATTAATACTTTGTACACACTAAACTGTCTTGTTTTTTTTAAAAAATAAATTATCCAAACCAACAAAAGGGCATGCCTTGTGTGTCATCAGAGTAGCTGTTGAAATGGGGAGAAACCTAACTTTATGTTGAATCACTTAAATGTGAGGAAAATATTAATACAGTAATAATGTGTGAGATGACTTGTTCAATTATGGACGTACGTATATCAAGTTCCTATACCCTGAAGTGAGAGAAAATTCATAGTTACCTGCTGGATTCTTCTTTTGCTTTTAAATACTAAGTTGGCTGAGTTTCTAGATGTCTCAATGAGCGTTTCCACTTCCGTGATTAGAGGCCTTGTATTTAAAAGTATTGAGTTCCTGGGGGTGGTTACAGCAGCTTAAAGGAGATATGGGCCAAAAGACTGGTAAATCATTCACCTTTTTTGACTACTAAGTCATGTAGAAAGCTGTTAGAATGGTTACTTATGGCATCAGGTAAATGCCAGGTTCAGGCTGAGGCTTGTGCTCTTTATTAATGTTTGTTAAGGCTCTATTTCGCTAGGCTCTTAATTGCCCTGCAAGTTGTGAGGAAAGCTCATAGAAGGAAGAGGCCAGTGGCCATTTCTGTGCCCAACTAGACTTGTAAAAAATCCAGTTGTCAAGGTTTTTCATAGGTGCCTTTATTTCTGAAGAAAATGGGATTTTGTTTTATTTCCTTTCCTTTCCCATCAGTGAAATGTTGGAGAACACCCTGAGACAAAATGCCTTTATAATAATTTTACTGTAGCACCCCCCAGTTTACTTGTAATTGAGCATATGTGTTCATTTTTCTTTTTCTTAAACTAAAAGTATTTTTATCAGCATTTATCTTGCTAGGGGGAGCTGCTTTTTAAAAAATATGTTTATTTTTGCACATATAGAGCCTGAGGGGAGTGAGGATATGGGTATTTAGGTCCTAGTTTGGTGTCCATTTTACATTCTGGACCATGCTCTAGTCACTTTCCCCTTTACGCTATTGGTACTACAGGGTTGATATCTAGCCTCACAAGCTCAGTCCAAGGAGAGTCGCCAGGCCCGTCCTTGAAGTATTCCTTCCTTGATGCATCCTGAAACATAGGAATTAGGAATGGGAATTAGGTTGGGAGCTGGTCTTCTAGAGAATGGGAAAATGCATCCTCATTTCTGCTCCAACATTTCTCTCTTGAGTGAGAAATCTCTGAAAAGCAATTGTTAACCTCTCCTATGTTTTTTTGCAGGAGAAAAGCCTTTCAAATGTGAATTTGATGGCTGTGACAGGAAGTTTGCCAATAGCAGTGATAGAAAGAAACATTCTCATGTCCACACCAGTGACAAGCCATATTACTGCAAGATTCGTGGCTGTGACAAATCTTATACTCACCCAAGCTCTCTGAGGAAGCACATGAAGATTCATTGCAAGTCCCCACCACCTTCTCCAGGAGCCCTTGGTTATTCATCAACGGGGACTCCAGTGGGTGCTCCCTTGTCCCCGGTGCTGGACCCAAGCAGGAATCACTCTAGCACTCTATCCCCTCAGGTGACCAACCTCAATGAGTGGTATGTTTGCCAGGCCAGTGGAGCCCCCAGCCACCTCCATACACCTTCTAGCAACGGAACCTCTTCTGAGTCTGAAGATGAGGAGATGTATGGGAACTCTGAAGTAGTGCGGACGATACATTAGAATTTATTCATAATAATAACAAGTCAAATAATAAGTGGGAGTCCTTGGACCATATCCTAACGTGAGACAATGCCGAGCCTGAGAAAATCCATGACTCAGACTTGCCACCGAGTCTAATTAGCCTTATTTATTTAGTATGAAACCCCATGGTGTTTTTACATTTAGTTAATTTAATTAAGATATTTGGGCTTTTTTCCCCCTAAAAAACAAAGAAACAAAACTAACCAAGCTGGACTTACACATTGCAGAGGGACAGGGCTGGGAGCACAATGTACCAAGAAAAATAAATGGAGAAATCAATTAATTGAGAGATACACTGCCAATGCAATATATGTATTTTTTCAAAGGTGAGAGACAGAACACTCAACACAGTAACAAGGCCCTCTGCATTTCCTAGAGTGCCTTGCAAATGCCTTTGACACCATAATCTGGGCTTCTTTGGAGCCTCTTAGTTGCCTCCTTGGGTCCTAATTCTGCGAAGTCCTCTTGATTGTAAACCATACACTTGCTGCATTGCCAACAGATCATGGGCTGTACCTGTGTTCAAAAATATTTGTCATTTCATTTCCACTTTTATTACTGATAATATCTAAACAGTATTTTTATACAGGATTATTTAGTACCCTGCTTGTATGATTTAAAGAAAAAGATGCAGCAACCTTAATACATCTCCATTGTGCTACTGTGATGGTTCAAACAAAAGTGGAGATAAGAAAAAGCTGCTGCAATAGACAAATGTGAAACTGGTATTTTATAAAATAGAAGAAATTCAAGTGCTTGTCTTTTCCTGTTTTTTTCTTTTATCTGAAATCACAGGTGCTGCCTCTTTACTATGCTCAAACTTCTTGTGTAATAAAGACATTATAGTTTAGGTCATAAGTTCTTTGGGATACTAAAATTAATAGGCAAGTCTAAGGAGAAGTGATGTTGGCAATATGCCTATTTTTTTTGAAAACTTGTTTTAAATACAGGCCAATCCCTCTTTTATACTCTTATATCAGCCTTTTAAAAAGCCTTTATTTTTTGATGACTGAAAGTACATTTTAACACAATTTCTTTCCCCTGAGCACTGAACACACCAAACTCTATCCCATTTGAAAATTATAGTGTGTGAAGTATATGATTTACATTTAGGAAATTGCTATACATAGTTTAATTTTTTAAATGTTTGTAGTTACCACCAAACATTGATGAATGTTTGACCTTTGCCAGAACTGTCAAGCTAGGAAAAAAAAAGGTCAAGCACCTAGGACAATAACTCTTAATCCATTTATTTTCAGGTGGTACAGCACATCTCTTGTGCAAATGTAGTCTATCATAAACATACAAATATACTAAAGAGCACTAATTTATACTCAAAGACCCTGAAGACATCCCCTCCCCAGGGTTTGTAGTAACCTGTTTCGTGTACTGTGAGTGGTTGATGTAGTCTTATCATTGTTAATGACTTGTATGTGAAACTATTTGTACAGTTGAATTAATTTATTTTCAGACATCCTTTTTTTTTCTTTCCTGGAAGAGTTCAAAGCACACCAAAGAATTATATTGTACATTTTGGTGAAAGATTGTTTATGACCCATGGTTTATTTAAAAAAAGGAGAGAAAATGGAAAAATATATTTTTAAACGTACTTGAATGAACAACGTAATGTGAAAACCGGGACTCTTCCTGCATGTCTGTTTTGCATTGTGTTGAAATTATATATAGTTTATAGATATATTACTAGTACAGTGCATGGTGCTGTCACTTTGAAAGCCTTTCAATGTCTTCAAATTGTTGTGAATATGAAACCTGCAGACCCTCCTTTATAAAGAAAAAGACCATAAAACTTGAATATAAAATAACTACATTTAAAAGTTTATTTGATTTTAATAGTATTCACTTTCAAAGCTCTTTCAAATAGACAAAAGTATGAACTTTGGGGGATAATTTATGTATTGTAAACTTGTTAGAACAAAATATTCCTGATTTGTATTGAGTTGTTTTATTTATACAGCTTTTTCAATGGTAGTTTGCACTATTCTTTATTATGCTACAGGTTTATTTATTATGAAACAAAGGAATATGTATTTTATGTATTTTGCCATGCATAGGTTAATTCTGCCACTGATTTATTGGTTCCTGATAGACCTAAAATTAAAAAAAAACTTAAAATGTGTACCTTCAATAGAAAGCAAGAGTGATTATGGAGTAAAAAATTTAATAAAGGTATTCTTCCTGTGTATTGCTTGTGCTTTACACAATGGGATATTTCTTCCATTCTCTTCCAAACAAAATGGGTTGCTGACATAATGAACATTAGGTTCTCTTTCTTTGACCTCTTTATTTCTTAGCCTCTCCCCAACCCATAAAATATTTTTACAGCTTGGTTTAATTTAAATCTAATCTACAAAATAAAATGTATTCATGAAGACTAAACTCTGAAGGTTAACACTAGCATAAATCTTAGGGGTTACCACACTCATTTGTTAAAATTAACATCCTTAGCAGTTCTATTCAGTGAAAAGCAAATTTTAACATTTCTTTTGGTGCCTAGCCTCTAAAGTATAAATAAAAAGGAATGAGGAAAAGATTGAGGGAGGGACAGAAGCTTCCAGATACACATGAAAAAACAGGACCTGAGGTGGGTATTGAGTTAAACATCCTGAAGTTGAGCAGTGGGCATCAAGTACCTCATATCAGGTAATGGGGTGGGGGAATCAGAATATAATTTTATTGTGGTGTATTTGGAAGTTGAGTGGACATAAGTAGCAGCATTTTCTGGCAGGTGTTAAGGAGAAATACATTTTAATAAAATATCCAAATGGCTTAAATTAATGTAATTGGCTATCTACTGTTAACCAGGCCAAATGTTTGTTAATGTTAGCTTACACAAAGCTGATGAAAGGCAAATAATTAAAAATAATTGGTAATAATGTCAGTAAGCAGTTCTCCAAAAGGTTATAGTGGTGTTGAAAAGTCAGGTTTGTTAAATGTTGTAAAGGTGAAAACAGGTTGCAAAGTGTTTTAAGCCAGGTAACAATAACCAGCACATGAAGGAGAAAAACACTCATAAAGGAGGGCCTAAATCAATGGGAAAACTTATGGCTCTCTAATGAAGTTTCTTATGAAAAGAAGGGTGACATAAAGCCACCAAGACATGAATCATTCATGGGAAATATAAAAGATAAAAAGATCTGACAATGAACAGAACCTTGTATAGAGTGTATAAAACAAGTTTCCCCTTCTTATTTTCTGCTTTAAAATGTGCTATCTTCCACTCCCAGCTTTCTCTGTCCAGTCTATAGAGTTAAAGTTGACCACTGCTTATCCTGCGCCACTTCAAAGTAATTTAGTCCAGAATGGAAGGCTTGGCGCTTGGACAATCTTCATGGTGTGTTAAGATTTCTATGGCAATTGGCAAGCAAGACCTTCCCATCTGAATATGTTTCAAAGAAAGCCACTTATTGACACTAAGTTGGCTATCATCAAAGACTTCATCTTTCCTCGGCAAGATGTGGCCCTCGAAAACACTGTTTAAATGATCTACCTTTGTTTTCCAGGCTAGGACAATCTTCAAACACATGATTATTTGAACACACACACACACACACACACACACACACACACACTCCCCATTCAGGATGTTCTTTGGTAAAGCTAATACTCCTAAAACCTAAAGGACTGAGAAAGAGCTCTGGGGTGGGAATAATATTCTTGTAAGGAATTGGAGATGGCCGGCCACACAAGAGGGATGGCATTGGGGACAGGAAAAGAAGAGGTTCAAACTTCTTGAAAGCTAGGCCCAGCTATAGGAGATATCACATTTATATTGCTTGCAGTCTCATCATTTATATCTTGCATTTTGTGGAAGCTTTTGAGACAGTGGTTCATTCTCTCTACCTATCTCTCTTACCTACCTACCTATTATAATACTCTTTTTCTATGAAAAGGCACAAGAGAAGTTCACATGAAGTATTTTTTATCCTCAGTTAGTTAGGAAATACAATTTGGGAAAGAGAGAAGGGGAGCCAATCTGGCTTCTCAAGTGATTGATTACCTTAAGTCAGAGGAAAGGAAAGCTGAACACAAGAGAAACAAAATAATCCTAACACTTATTAATACTTTCAGCCTTCACATCACACTGCCCGCTTGCTCATCTACTGCTACTCTACCATGATGGACACGTGGCCAGGGAAACCCAACCTTCCAGGGCTAGAGGGGTGGCTAAGGAGACCCACAGTGAAACCCTCAGCCTTGGGGTTCCAGCACACTTCCCCTTCTTGAACAAAAACTCACAGAAACTTATACAGACACCCATGTGCACACATTCACACAAAGCAGTGAGTGCCTAATCAGGCAGAGAGAAGTTCAAAGGTGTGTTCTTTGAAATTTAAACTACTGCTTTTATGGTACATCCATACAGAGCATCAGGATTGCTACGGCAATGGACAGGGCCAGGGGAGTCCCTGGCAGAGGGTCCACAGCGATTGGAGACACTCTATTAAGATACAGTTGTAGTGACCTTTACTTTGGTGCCAAGTTTGCTCAGTCAATTTTCACCTCATCAGAAATATATGTTTTACATATGATATTACACATATAATATGTGTGACACATGTATGTTCCCATCTACTTTTTGTTAAGATTCCTCCATAGAACCTCCTAGTTTGAAAGAAAAGGGAAAGAATGAGCAGAGGAGGAAAGAAAGCCGAGTGGGGGTGGGGTGGGTGATGTTGGAAAAGCGGGGAAAGAACCAGGAGCGCCAGAGCCCCAGTTCCTCTTCCTTCTCTTCCCACCTAAGTACTTTGATTTGTAGAGCGATTGTTCTTTGTTTATTTAATACAAGTACTGTGTGAATAGTGAAAAATAAACACGATGAAAAATAACCAAACAGATGATTCTACAGAGTAAAAAAGCCCGGACTTAATAAAAGTGCGAAGCAGTCACTGCTGAAAGACAAACCCTTTGAAGTGGAACTTATTATAGAAGGAATACTTTGGGGTTGCCTTAACGACGCTGCTGAATCGAAAGAGCTCGCCTTTGTCAGCGATTTGTTCTCCTTTGCTGGGGTGCCCGGAGAAATTACTTACATGGGCTGCCTTAACATGCAGCCTGCAAATCAGTAACTTTGCAGCTCAGACTTGCAGACGCCGATCGGCAGCGGACAAAAAGAAGTCAGGGGGGAAATGCACCAACCTTTCACGCCGAATCTCTGGGGACTGTGATGCACGGGCATGCTGAGGGAGGTAGCTAAGAAGTTGTTTTACAACTGGCCCCCCTCACCCAGGCTCTCCACCCCCACCCCGACCTCCTAGTCTGGGTTGGGGCCTCGGCCGCCTGGGCCTCCCAGAGCTGCAGAGGAGGCTCGGACTTTGACCCGGCCCTCCAGCGAGGGGCGCTCTTCCTCTCGCTGGTCCAGCACGAGACTTTCCCAGCCGTCCCTACCAAATTTAACAAGGGTCGTTTATCACTCAGGAGCTTTGAAGGGTCGCCTCCAGCTCTGTGCCCATTAGAAAGGCGGGGGTGACATTTAAACTCCGTTTTCAAGGATCGCGGGGAGATTTCATTGAAAAGGCAACTCGTTTGTCTTAGGAGCCTGGAAACAACCCCCTTCTCACTCCTTTTGACCACATGGCAAAACTCAAAAACAATAGTTCAAAAGTGAAATGGCATCGTGGTGTTCAGTCGGAGACAGGCCCCCATCTAGCACCAGAGAAAAGGGATAGTCCGCAAGACAATGTGCTTTTTGTGTCCTACTCTGTCACAAGGGTTGTGTTGTTTGCTTTGGAGGCTGCGCCTGTTATACTTTCCTGAAAGTGCTTGTGTTAAACAAGAGTTATAAGTCATCCAAAACAACAAACATTTTGATTTTCTTTGCCTAAAGGGCTTTCCCTGGTTATGGGCACCGTGAAAAATAATGTCCTTGCTGAGAAAGGAACACCAGTAGTAGCATTAGAAGCAGGCGCATTAAATATTGAATGACACGGGGGAAAAGAGCTTGTCAAGGGGCACTCAGCCTTAAAGTCTTTCTTCAACCTTGTCTTCAGTAGCTGCTGAACTATTTAAGATGGTATTAATTAAGGCAGCTTCGGATGCCGCCGAGCCAATCTCCCCCTCCACCAAACTCGGTCAATGGGCCTGTGTCCCGTGCTGTGTTCCTGCGTTGGCTGAGCCTAGTGCAAATGTCACTTTTCATTTGGAGGCTGAAGAGAAGGGCCTGTCCTGCATTAAGGGCAGCAGGGATGTAGTCATCAGCAGGCGTTACGGGAATATGAGGGGCTAGGGTGTGGGGAGGAGAGGCAGGAACAAAATGAGAACATCTGCCCTGGGCCAGGGAGGACAGTACACTAGTGTGCACTGCTTTTGGCACAGTTTGGAGAGTGTCATTTAGCAAACAAGAGCCAAGTGGGACTCCCTGGGTTGGAAAATCTACTCTCTGGTCTGTTCCTGTGTGAAGGAAACTAAAACCCCAGCCCTGCAAAAATCCATCAGGCAGTCAGGTAGGGCATATTTTACAAAGAGAGTAGCTTCTACAAAGACAGACAAATACTTGGTGCAAGCAGGCCTCTTTACTAAGTTCTTCCTCCTCCCTAAGATTCCCCTCACTGATCACAAATAGAGAAAGCCCAAAGGGCCTCAACCAAGAACCTGAGATCCAATTTTACAGATGTTGAAACTGAGACCTCAAGCAAGACTCAGAGAAGATTTTTGTCAATATTTCCCTGAGAAGTATGAAGTTGAGACCCTCAATGAGTCAAAAGACCTAGACAGGAGTGGGGTTCTACTTAAGGGCACCAACAACTACTT